GGTCATGTAGACACCTCACATCTAAGGAGTAGGGAGTTATGCTCTGCCTCTTTGAGGACAGAGTCTTTGTGAATAATTTGGAATTCTTCTGCGGGAGAGATTTGTTTCCTCTCCCTTATTTAATTATTTAAGCATTCATTTCTATCCATGTAGATGCACGGATATTTACTTTACACTTTGGGCTTAATGCAATACCACTTTAGATATTCTGGTTGTTCCAGCTTTGACCACTGGGACCTCTTTCAGTTGGCTCCCATGTCCCTTCGACATACCCCCACCAATGTGATTTTGGTTGCTTTGTTTTTATGAGTACTTCCTTGCTTTGTGCCACTACAGGATCCTCCAGGTTCCTCTTGTATATTCCTTCCCTTATCCTAGAATCAGCTATTTCTCCAAGCAGTCTTGGTTTCTTTATTGGAGAATGGTTTTACAAACCAAGGCCTGGGCATAAGATATGCCCATTACTAATTGAGTGTTGCTGCTTCTACGTCCTCTCCGCTGGCAAAGCAAAGGAAATATATGTGCGCCATAGAAACTAATGTTTATACACATATCTATAAGTATTTCCATATGAACATGGGTTCATTCCTATGTCTGCAACTCTAGTCCATGGCCACTCCAACAGTGAGAAGCCTGGCTCCCGCCATCCCCCAATATTTACTTAACTGTTCATTTCCAGCAGACAGGTCTCACTGTATCAGAATTGTTAACCTCCATCCCCTGATGGGAAACTTCATCAACAAGAGTAAAGTTTTATGTACAGTTCTTTTTGCCTTCAGTCTTATAATTCCACTCATTTCCAAAGCTACTCAGGTCACCACCTTCTTCTCCCACCTACTTCAGTAAGATGTTTTAATACATTTATAATACAGATTATTTTGCCACGGTCTATGCTCTATCCTGGTATGCCTTGACCTCCTAAATGGTTTTTTAAAATTTGTATATACTGGTTCACTCTTTGTGCTTTAAAATTCTGTGGGTTTTAACAAATTATGTAGTGTCCTGTGCCTATAGTGTCAGTATCATACAGAAGAGCCAGGCTTCTCACTGTTGGAGTGGCCATGGACTAGAGTTGCAGACATAGGAATGAACTCATGTTCATATGGAAATGCTTATCGATATGTATATAAACATTAGTTTCTATGGCACACATATATTTCCTTGCTTTGTCAGCTGAGAGGACGTAGCAGCAGCAACACTCAACTAGCAATGGGCTTATCTTATGCTCAGGCCTTGGTTTGTTGAAGTCCCTTGCTTCATTTATCCAAGCCTCCACCCCCTCCTGCCAAACCCCCAGCGATCACCGTTTCTACTGTCTCTTTTAGTTTGGCTTTCCCAGATCTCCTATCACTGGAATCATATGGTAGATAGGCACTCATTGAGAAAATGTAGTTAAGTTTTACCTGTGTCTTTTTGTGACTTGATACTTTAAAAAATATTACCACCCTATTCTGTGGATGTACCACAGTTTATTTATCCACTCAGTGTCCTATTGAAGGACATCTTTGCTGTTTCCAGTCTGGGGAGATTATGAATAAAGCTGCCATGAGCCTTCTTCTTGCCCATTTTTAAGTTGCTTGTCTTCTGTTTTCCACATCGTCCATTAAGGATATATGCTTTGTCAAGTTACAACTATTTTTCTCTAGTCTATTATTTTTCTTTTGACTTGATTTTTGCCTCAGTATTGTAAAATGTAATTGACCACATCTGTATTTTCTGTTATGGCTACTGGATATCCCATCTTTTGTTTGTTTCTTCGTTTTTGAGGTATTGTCAGATTATAAATATATTTTTAAAACTTACAATTGACATGCAATATTATATCCGTTTATGCATTATGAAAAGCTCACCATGGGTGTAGTCACCATCTGTCACCTTACAAAGTTATTACAATACTGTTGACTATACTCTCTATGCTGGACTGTCCACCCCATGACTTACTTATTTTATAACTGGAAGTCTGCAGCTCTCAATCTCTTTCACCTGTTTGGCCCATTTCCCCCTACCTCTCTCACCTCTGGCAACTACCAGTTTGTTCTCTGTATTTATTCATCTGTTTCTATTTTGTTTCGGTTGTTCATTTGTTTTGTTTTTTAGAGTCCACATATAAGTGAAATCATATGGTATTTGTCTTCCTCTGACTTATTTCACTTAGCATAACACCCTCTAGTTCCATCCATGTGGTCGCAAATGGCAAGATCTCATTCTTTTTGATTGCTGAGTAATACTCCGTTGTATATATATACCACATCTTCTTTATCCAATCATCTGTCGATGGGCACTTGGATTGCTTCTATATCTTGGCTATTGTAAATAATGCTGCAATAAACATAGGGGTGCAGGTATCTTTTCAAATTAGTGTTTTCATTTTCTTTGGGTAAATATCTAGAAGTGAAGTTGCTGGATCGCACTGTATTTCAACTTTTAATCTTTTGAGGAAATTCTGTACTGTTTTTCACCGTCGCCGTACCAATTACATTCTCACCAACAGTGTGCAAGGCTTCCCCTTTCTCCATATCCTTGCCAACACATATTTCTTGTTTTTTTGACACTAGCCATCCTTACAGGTGTGAAGTGTTATCTCATTGTGGTTTTGATTTTTATTTGCCTGATTAGCAATGCTGAGCATCTTTTCGTGTGTCTGTTGGCCATTGGCATGTCTTCTCTGGGAAAAGGTCTGTTCAGTTCCTCTGCCCGGGTGGTTTTTTTTTTGGAAGGGGGTGTTGAGTTGTATAAGTTCTTTATCTGTTTTGGATATTAATTCCTTATTGGATATATCATTTGCAAATATCTTCTCTCATTCAGTAGGTTGACTTGTCGTTTTGTTGATGGTTTCCTTCACTGTGCACTGGGAACCCCATCTTGCTCTGATGGTTTTCCTCCTCCCAAGGTTAAAAAACATCCTCCTGAATTTCTCTTCTGTTACATATTATGGAAGAGTGTATAGGTTTAAGCAAAAGGGGTAGAAATGCTGAAGGATAACAGAGGATCTGGGGACAGTGACTGTGGAGCTGAGAAGCATTTTGCCCCTGAATTTTGAGTGGTCTATCATGTGGGCTTTCTAGGACCTGCTCTCAGCGAGAGTTTTCATGGGGTCTCTTCAGACACTGTAGTTCTAGGAGCAAGGAGCTATGTGGCCACCTTTGGAGAATCAAAACCAGACCTCAGGGTTGTTTCTCTGAGCTTGTCCATCCCATTCCTGTATCCCTTTATTTGTATGCTTTATATTTGTCTCCCACCTAGACTATGAGCTCCATAAAGTGGAGATCCAGGTCTGGCCTGTTGATCCCTGATCCTTTAATGCCTGGCATGAGGCCCTGTCTAGCAGGAAGGCAGGTAAGGAGGAAAGATAAAAGGAAAGAGCCTTGGCTTTTTTCCATTAACCCTGAAGTTTCATATTAAGGTCTTCTCTGTTTTGTTGTTACCCCTCAGTGGCTCACCTCATCAAAGCACATCACCAGGGCTCCCTCACCTTCCACTGTGGTTGGTCAATGGGACGCACTCTCAGGGAGGAAAGAGCGGGCGAGAGTATTTATTCCTCTCACTCCCCACCTGCTGGGCAGTCCTTCTGGCGGCAGGTGCACCCTTCTATAGCCACACCCTTCAAGCAGCTCCTCGCCCAGGGTCCCAGATGTCATCTGGACACCGGTGATCCCATTTCTTCCCCTGCCTCTGCAGGTCAGGTTGAGAGCAGCTTCTCTCTGTTGGTAGTTACCGTGGGCATCAACATCCCTTATTACTTAAGGCTTAAAAAAATTCCAGCTGAGTGTAGGCTCAGTTTCCTGCCTGGACTCTGACAGATCCCTAAAGGGCAGAAAATAGGGAAAGAAGCCAAAGAGCTTGGAAACATAAGGGGGCTCCTCAGAAGAGCTCACACAGACCCAGGAGGAGCAATTCATTTGTCCACTGAGGGAGTGAGGACTTAGAAAGGGCGTGTGTCAGGCCTGCCACCCGACGGGCCACCTGAGTCACCCCAGCTGCCCTGTGGCTAGTGGAGCTGTCCTCTGTGTGTCCCTCAGGGCTTGGTTCTGTCAGAATAGGAATCCTTGATAAGGTGTAATTATAACTTTTCACTTTATGTGTCTCCCACGCTGGACTGAAAACTCATCAAAGGCAAAGATTTGGGTGTGGGCCATTTCTGCATCCTGCTTGCTTCTCTCAGTCTGCTGGGCACAGAGCGCGTCTTTGTGAGGGTTCACGTGAAGAAGGAACGAAGGCTCCTCCCACAGCTGAACCCCATGGGCCCACTCTTCCAGAACCCACCCCTTCGTAGGAGGTGGATCCGCCTCAGAAGGCCCTGGCCAGGTCCTGAAGGCTAAAAATATTGGATCCCGATAATACCGGAAGGTGACTAAGCTGCTGACTCAAGAAAACCAACTTCCTCTTCCAAAATAGTTGCCTACTCTATCATCGAGTTGTTTTGCCCAGATACATGCTGGTCTCAGGCATTCCTGCCTCCTTTGAAAGCTTCTTCAAGGGCTGCCAGTTTGGCTCAAACACCTTTTTTGCTGCTGTGCCTTTTCACTCTGTTGCTGTTATCTGAATAACCTGTCCCAGCTCCTTAACACCTCAGTCAGCAGACCCCGACTCCCACACGGGCAATACGCCTGGACCACAATATTCCATCCCCAAACCAGGACTCAGTCACCGGGCTGTCCCGGAAAATCTGGGATACAGACTATATTTATATAATTTATAGAACCTATATTTATAGAAACAACAGTAAGCCTTGATCCATTTTCAATCTAAATGGTTTTAATAACCACAAACATATGGGAAAGAAACTAGTGAACAAAACTTATTTGTGTTTGACCCCAGTAGTTATTTTCACAGGCATGGTGACTGTATTCCTATAATCTTTTAATGCAGTATTAATTTCAAATGTTCCATGAGTAAAAATATTTTTAAATGTTGAATATTATGTCTTAATATTGCTGTATTGCTTTCAATAAAAGCAATTGTTTACACATATGGTGACATTTTGTATGCCGCTGTTTAAGATTTTTCACCTGAAATCACGGACCAGGTGACCACATCAGCTAAGCTCAACCCTGCAGTCATCCCGTCCCAGGTGCCAGAGAGTGAGTGAAGAAGCCTCCAGAAGATTCCTGCCATGCTCTGTCTGAATTTCTTACCTATGAATTTATGAGTGTAAAAAATAAATTGACAACCCAGGGTAAAACTCTTTTCAGATCATTTTCTTCAGTGTGTGAAAATGCAGTTCTACAGTTCAAATTTCAGTTGAAGAGAAGGGGTATCTTCCCCCCAGAACCTTCCAGGCTAGTAATTCCAGATACTCTAATGCTTGGTGGTCCCAGTTCTACTAAGGGAAGAAGTTATTCCCGCTGTGCAGGGTTATGTGCATGCCTGTCGGGGAGCTCTCTACTATGCAAAGAGAAAGATGACCCTACCGGAAAAGATTCTAACTGGTAGACCAGTTGCCTCAGGAACAGTGAATTCTGGATTTCCAACATCTCTTCTTGCATCCTGGCTCTAGGAGTCCTCCGTTAACTGACACGTTCTCTGAAGCCCACCCAAGGCCCTCGAATCATGGGCCTCATCACCTGTCAAAGCCAGGTTTGTTGACCTTTGGGTGACTAAAAGTGGTACCAGAACTTGGGAGTGGTTAGGGAGAAGAGCACGTAAAATTGTCAAGTTTTAGCCATTCATCACGATCCAGTGGCCTAAGCAGTGATGTAGTTAGTTTTTGTTTTATAATTTTAGAAACAGCCCCCAATACTTCCTGTACAGCTCCAGACTGGAAAGAAGTGCTTCTGGGTCAGCGTGGAAAGCAGGTGCTCCCTGAGGGCAACTTCTGAGTTCATCTTCTACCCGTGATCACAAATCATGCAACTCCTCCGAGAGTCTATTGAGAATGCTATGGTACATGCCCACAACCCTACAAACTTCGCTTGATTTCATCTAGGTCACCCAGCAAGACCCTCCCTCCCTTACTTTTCTTACAAACCCACAGTTTCTTCTGGCTCGGGTATCAATTTTCCCTTAACTTTCAGCATAATGTCCTCAGCCGGAAGGCTTTATCGCAGTGTCCCAACCTCTTCCAGTGTGTGACACTCCTAGGTTTGTATGGGAGAGAGGGAGACAGAGAAAGAGAAACAGACACAGAGAGAGACAGAGACAGAAGGAATTTTTGTGCAGGGGAGAGAAGTTGGGATTCCAGATGGTCCAATGGTTGGTGGCCCCCATTCTACTAAGGGCGGAAGTGACTCCCAACAGAGCGGGGTTGTGTGCGTGCCTGTGGGGCCTGTGTGTGTGTGCCTGTTCCATTAGTTCTGGGGACATGAACAACTTGTAAATAAGATGACTTTACAATGACTGAAGAACAGTCAACTGAAGATCTTTTTTTTTTTTTAATTTTTTTTAACTTTATTTAGGTTATTTTTTTTTTGGGACAGAGATAGAGATGAACGGGGGAGGGGCAGAGAGGAGACCAAATCCCAGAAACAGGCTCCAGGCTCGCAGCCACCATCAGCCAGAACCGAATGCGGGCGAACTCAACTCAGGGACCAAGATGGTGCCCACCTGGCTGAAGTCGGACAGCGACCCGACCTGCGCCACCCAGAAGCCCCTGAGATGCTTAATGTCACTTTATACAATCCTTTCTACACAAGTTTTTTTTTTTTTTTAATTTTTTTTTAACGTTTATTTATTTTTTTGGGACAGAGAGAGAATAGGCATGGCGGGGAGGGGGGGAGAGGGGAGACACAGAATCGGGAAACAGGCTCAGGCTCTGAGCCATCAGCCCAGAGGCCTGGCGGGGCTCGAACTCACCGGACCGGCTGAGATCGTGACCTGGCTGAAGTCGGACGCTTAACCGACTGCGCCACCCAGGCGCCCCTGAAGATCTTTAATGTCACTTTATACAATCCTTTCCTACACAAGTTTTTTTTTTTTTTTAATTTTTTTTTCAACGTTTATTTATTTTTTGGGACAGAGAGAGACAGAGCATGAACGGGGGAGGGGGAGAGAGAGAGGGAGACACAGAATCGGAAACAGGCTCCAGGCTCTGAGCCATCAGCCCAGAGCCTGACGCGGGGCTCGAACTCACGGACCGCGAGATCGTGACCTGGCTGAAGTCGGACTCTCAACCGACTGCGCCACCCAGGCGCCCCATTTCCTACACAAGTTTTAAAAGAGAACGCCCAGTACATGGGAGCCAGGGGGTATGGATTCCCCTCAATCCTGTCCCTGAGGAGCTTTTTTGGGAGAATACTATTAAACAGCTCCCTAGCTCTAGAATGCATTCGGTGTCCACTAAGAAATGCAACAATCTTCATCTCCAACCTGAGTTCTACAATATTTACCAAGCACGTGTATTAGAAGGTGGTGTATTAATTTGTACGTCCGTTCGCCAGAACATGTTGGACAGTGAAGTAGCCCAGAGGCTCCCTCATCTTTCAGTTACCCCCTGGGCCAGTGTCTCACCTCTGCTCACTCCAGAGTCTCCCCCTTTCCCATCTCCCACCCTGGTGGATGAAGGACGGTGTTTCAGTTAGACTCTGAGCTGCAAGTGTACCAAAGGCCGCAGCAGAGCTATCTAAGCCCCAGCGGCCCGTCTGACCAGTGAAAGACAGTTCTGAGAACAGCAAATGTTCCCTCTTTCTCCTCGCTCGTCTCTGCTTTTTTCCTCATTCTCCGGAGCCTGGTTAGTTCACGGACCGAACCCTGCTTTATGCCTTTCCTCAAGGATGCAGACAAGACCCACACCCAACCTCTGCCTCCTCTGCCTGGCTTCACCCTCCCCCACCCCTTCCCCTTGAACGGAAGGCACTTAACACCTACACGGCACAATTTAGTTCTTGATTCCACGCTGCCAGGTGTCATGACAATTAGATCACGGGTGTTGGTCTTGTCTTTGCTATGAGAAGCTCCCGGACAGGTACTGCTCATTGACGATAGCTCCTGACACTGTGCTTTGCTCATAGCAGGTACTCACCAGACAAACACTTGCCTTTATATAGAGTCTTTCATCGTGAGGGTGGGCGAGCAGAGTCGGGCTACCAACCCACTACAGGCCGGGCTGTGGGCTGAGGGGTGGCCTCCTGCTTCCCTGAAGCATCCCGCGAGGCACTGATGTCCACAATGCATTCCAGGGAAATGCCCAAGACCCGGAAGGCCCCTCTGGCCTCTCCTAGCCCTTGTAAACTCAGTTTTTTGGCACTTCTTCCCCAATCCCTCCACGCTACCCCTCCTTGAACTCAATTTGAGGCATTTGTGAAAGGGGTATTCTCTTCTCCCCATCCCTGCCGCAGAGCACAGTAGGGGCATTTAAAATCATAAAGTCTGGCTGGCAGGTGGGATGAATGAATGAACTGCTGGACTAACAGAGGGTGAGTGGGTAAGTGGGGAAATGAAGGAACATACCACTGCCGAGAGCACCCTGGGTGGCGCCTTCCAGAGGACAGGGATTCCTGTTTGTTTAGGACCCGTGTGGGGATTCCATGGACTCTACGGGTGAAATGTTTTCAAAATCATTTTCAAAAATTTGTGACTGAGCAACAAGAATATTTATAAATCAAATCATGGCAAGACACTTGTTAAGTGTACCTCTACTATTCGGTCCACACAAACAGACTTACTTATACCTAGTTCCTGGGTAATCAGTTTTTGAGATGTTCAATGTTTTTTCTTCACCACCTGTATTAGAGGGCCATTACTTCCCTCAATTGAAAGCAAAATAGGTCTGCTATCACCATCAATATTCTTTAACCTTGCACTTGAAGGAAGCTTTTAAAGAAAAAAGGCTGGGAGAGCTTTAAGATCCCATGCGGAGTTTCTTAACCTTAGTTGCATGTTTGAATTACCTGGGGAGGCTTTCTAAAGTCTTGAGGCTCAGGCTGTACCTTAAACCTACTACCTTACAGTCTCTGGAGATGGGACCCAAGCATCAGCTTTTTTTTTTTCTTTTTTAAAAAAGGTCTCTTTTTTCTTTTTTTTAAATCTTTCTTTCTTTTCCTTCCTTCCCTCCCTCCCTCCCTCCCTCCCTCCCTCCCTCCCTCCCTTCCTTCCTTCCTTCCTTCCTTCCTTCCTTCCTTCCTTCCTTCCTTCCTTTTTTTCTTCCTTCCTCTGTTTGGCATCCATATTTTTAAAGCTCCCCCAAGTGATTCCCATGTGCGGCCAAAGGCTGAGAACCACTGTTCAGCCCACCCACAGCTGAGACCATTGAACGACTCACCGTGCACACGTGAGGGTGTCTGTTGTGTTCCCTGCAGGAGTCCGCTCTGCCACCCGCCCGTGTCTCATTCTGATCCCTCCCCAAGGGCTCCTTCCTCCTTCGCACTTATTTCTGTCTTGGCAATCATGGATGGCTCGTGGGCATGTCCATGAGGATCCCATTCAGGTGAATTAGGCTATCATTCTGTGCTAGCTAGCACTTTGGGAAAGCTGTATTTCTCCACTCATGAACTTTGAACTGAACTTCTGTGCCTACAAGAAGTTTCAGGGATTGAGAAGAGCAGATGGTTGAAATAAATCACAGGGAGGTTGCACACCATCCTGAACCCGAGCTGGCCGTTCTCCCCAATCAGTTATGTTGAGAAACGAAAGCTGCCTAGGGACACCCCACCCTCGGTCCGTGGACACGCTTCCCCTCAGTCCCGCGCGTTGGCACTCCGATCTTTGCCCCAGTTAAACCCCGGCCCATTTCGCGGGCCGAGCCACACTCTGCGGTGCTTCCCACTGCGGCAGCTTTTACAGTGCTTGCCTTCTACCTACCGAGTCTCCGTGTCTGCTTTCCCAGTTTGGTTTGTGGGCTAGGCCATTTCACTGGATCTTTTGGAAAAACAGTGTGGGGATGCCCACCCAGAAACTCTCTCTTCCTGGGATTTGGCGGTAGCTGGTGTGGAGGAGGACTCAGAGAGGGCAGACCTCCCCAGCTCGTCTCTCGTGCCCCACCGCCAGTCCTACGCCCACCCACCAGGCAGGGTTCCCGCAGCGATTGAACCAAGAGACCTGCACACAGCGCGGGTGGATTGCAGTTATGTATTCAGTTTCCTACCGACTTAACTAACATGGGCCGCGGGAAGAGGAGAGAGAAACACTGGAAGAGCTGCCTGACTGGAGTAGGTGCCTTTCACTAAGTCATGCGTTCCTACGCTTTACAAAAGCATCTTCCTACAGGAAAAGCGACTCCCGCAGGGATAGCAGGGG